GTAGCTGGGTGAAGTTAAATAATGCAGTACTGTTTAAAATTGCATGAGTTTATGGTTTCATTTCCTCTGTTCATTCATAATTCCTACTCCCTCGTAGATTACTGCAGTCAGTGATTATCCCATCTGTCCAATCCGTCTCTGAAGTGAGCGGGAATGGCAGGCTGTTGTGACTCTTCCTTGCTCATGCACTAAGCTATACTTTGGCAAAGGAAAGATGAACTTGCCCTCTATGGTGAGGTTTAGGAAAGATGAAGGGCCTAGCCTCTCATCTTAAGGAAGATGTAGCATGGAAACGATAATGAGGAAGGGCTACTTTCTAATAAATCAATTTGATCGACTGCATTGACAAAAGAATTTCTACAGCGTGCCCACCACACAAGGGAGCAGTTCAAATGTCTGTCCCACCACAAGGATCTGTCTTGCTGTATCTCTGTCACAAGAGAGCCTCCATGGACTAAACTGTGTGACTGACTGAAGTGGATGCTGAAGGAGAGACGCAAGGCAAGTGCCAGTACCAGGAGAGCATCTCCCGCTGCTACCAAAGGCAGAACAGAACTGCCAAACCAGCTCGACCTTTAGAAGAGGTGGAAGCTGTCTGAGAAGCCATGGGGCTGCTCGGAAGAAGCCTTGATTGTTCAGTGCTCTCTATAGTTCTGCCAGGACCTCAGTACCCAGCCCTGAGCAAGCAACCGCAGCTCTGGACACCTCACCCTGGCCAGGATTAGCTCTACTTGCACTGCTGGTGTTGCTGCCCTCACAGCTCTCTTCAATGAAGAGCGTGCCTGTGTGTCCCATGATGTATAGAAGATGGGTTAACTAAACCTGCCTATTTAAATAGATCAGATGATCCAGGTGATCTTGCTTGGACTAACTTCAGAAGAGAGCAAGTCTGACTGCAGCACTGTGGGTATGAGAAGAGATGGCTGAGGATGACAGCCTATTACCTCCCGCTGGTCTAGGTGTCTGCATGGGCCTTTGGAGAACAACATTCAGAAACAAGCACTTCCCATTGCTTTGGAGCACCGAGGTGAAGTGCAGGGTGAGAAAGTCTTCCAAATATGGGGCCTAAGATTATTTAGGAATTAATGTTATTAACTTGCATCAGTTATTTCCCTGCTCATGGAAAACGTATTGCCCTTCCTATTTAACAGGTAGGGACAGAGGGAAGCTGTTAAATGTACCAAAGAATGCAGCAGTGGTCATGTCTTAGCTGAGATTCAGGTACAAGAAATAAAATCCTGACCCCATGAAGATCAGCAGGACTCTTGTGAGCAACTTTATCTGCATGAACAGCGAGAGGCTGTGCTGTGCAGCCAGGGGCATTGCTCACACCAGTGTGTCATCTCCCCTGCAGAAACATGAGGCATTACAGAGGAATGGAAAAAAAAACAAGGAAAGAGTAGGTGGAAACAACTGGGATGAGTGATGAATACTATGAGGAGTGGGAGAGAAAAGTGACAAGGAAGTGGGAAACCACCTTTGGTCCCTGGAGTGAGAGAAAGAAAGGGTGGCAGATCCCCCAGGTGCTTTGCCACTGTCATTGCTCTGTGCACTTCACTGGTGGTCTACAGACCCACAGATGTTATGAAGTTTGTCAGAGCTCAGCCTGCTGTGCAGAAAGACTTGAGGGACATTAAAGACACCAAAAGGAGAAGACAGGATCTCTCAAGACACTGGAAGTGTTTTGAGTGCAGCTAAAGAAGAAACACAGTTTGAATAATGTCTGAATCATGAGAAAGGCTGAGACTAGATGTGAAACATCCACTTTCTCCATCCTGCTTGTCCTGGCAGTTTAATTCAGGAAACTGAACTCTGTGCAGGCTGGCAGGGTCACTTGTCAGCTTGTTGGGGCTTGCTGCTCTTGGCAAAGCCAGAGACAGCCAGTCTTTGGGCACAGTGCAGTAAACACTGATTTCACTTAGCCCTGTGTCTGTTGAACCTGTGTCTGTGATGAGGTGAACCCCATGGTACTGTGGCAGCAGAGCCTGCAGCAGTTAGTCAGCCCAGCACTCTGGTTGCCTGAACCCTGCCCGAGTCAGGTCAGGGTGCTGCTGTCTGTTGGGTCTTGCCCATCTCCCCTTTTTTCTGTCTCCTTGTCCTGCCCCACCCTCCCTGCAGTCAATCCTGAAAATCCTGGAGCAGTTGCCAGCATTTCCAGGCAAGGTGCCCAAAGAGCAACACAGCAGTTTCTCAAGCAGCACTTGGACACGGAGCCAAGAGCTCTTGCAGGGTTTGATAATACAAGCTCAAGGTGAGCAATTAAGAGTCCTTCTCTCCTCTTTTTCCTCCTGTCTCTTTGGCCTCCTGGTCACAGAGAACATTTAAACATCTGATCTGAACACACCACAAGTTAAAAGCTGGAAGAACACAAGACTTTTATGAACTAAGTTAAGCATATTGTGGCTTTGGAAGGTGGCTGACTTGCATTTCTCTGTATCTTTGCATTACAATCTCTTTAAACATAATAGCACCTTATTAATTTGTACTGCCAGCACAAAACAAAGGCATTGGCCTACCTGAAAATTTGGGCCTCTGGGCCTCTACTAGAATAAAAAATTAATGATTTTAGCTGTCATCAGTTTTTTAATTCTAGAAGGAACCATGACTAGGGAGTTCTGACTCCTCTCTGTTACTTTGAAAGGAATTTAGGATGCATTTCAAAAGCTGTGTTTATATCAAACAAGTCTTTTTTCTTATAGTAACAAAGATATAATGGTAAAAATTTGCTATGGGGGCAAGTTATTAAAAATCTTCATAAAAAAACAGCACAAAAATTGCTTTCTTTGGAAACAAAAAATTGTATATGCATAAAGTGTGTAAGAGAGATTCTAAATGGAGAAAGCTGTATAATGTCTGGTTCCTATATGCTGTGCCGTGTCGGCTCCTACAGCACCAACTCTCTTCTCTCCTTGTCCAGAACCTGCTTACCAAACTGCATGTTGCAAGTGGGGAACCTACCAGTGTGGTCTATTGATTTGCTTTAAATCATTCTGTTATCAATCAGCTGGTGGCAGGTGATCGTGCTCACCCTTGCCAAAAGTATTACAGCAAATCCTGCAGAATAAATGCCAGCACTCACATGAAACTGTTAACAGAGCAATGCAAGAAAACTGGGAGGTTTCTTTTCTCCCCCCTACCCACACACAGTGCTTTGATCTGCCATGCAATTGGGTCAGCACTTGGGAAATGCATTTCAATATCCCCATCTGTGATTTGAATACTATGCAGGAGACCCTAAATGTAAAACCTCACAGATCCTACAGTAGAGTACCCTGTCAGGCCAGGCTGGACAGGGCTTGGAGCAACCTGATCTGGTGGAAGGTGTCCCTGCCTGTGGCAGGGTGTTGGAACTGGATGAGCTTTAAACTCCCTTCCAACCCAAACCATTGTATGATTCTGTTAAAAACCCTTAACTAGCACAGGTATTCAAAAGGAAAAAAAAAGGCAGATATCACTGGGATAGATCCTCATTTAATTACAACAGCAAAGGCCTGTGGAAATCAGCAGCTCCCACAGAGCACTGTTGGTTAAGAAAGTCTGCGTTGTTCATTTCTGGAGCAGGAATATGCTGGCTCACAGCTTTGTGAGCTTTTAGGTCTTGTCTTTACCAGGGTAATTGTACTAGTGCAAATCAGCCTAAATGCTGATGGAGGCAATGGAGCGTTTGATCTGTACCCCTCTGTCACTGTGCAGGGCACCCGTTCCTGGAGCCTCTGGGCTGCTAGTGAATAGAAGGGCTGTATCCTGGGCCATGCAGAGTCCCACAGGAGCTGACCACAGGTACTTCTTGTCTTTTGGATGCTTCTGAGGGGAAAAGCAATGTGAGATAACCTGTGCCATGAGGTCCTGAATAGCTGCAGCTAGCAGCAGGTATTGGCTGGGGTTCCCTACCACCCCTCTGAAGGCTATCCGCAGTAGTGGAGGCTTCGTGGTGCATGATCTGACTTCCAAAATGTCCTTCCTCTGCAGATCCTGGCAGCACAAAGAAAAGCCTTCAGTGCTGGGCAGCAATGCCAAGGGGCTTATCTGTCGTGGTGAGGTGTGGATGCTCTCAGAGATCTCAGCTCAGTGGGAGCAATCAGAAGCTTCCCTGGGGAGACCTCAAAGGGAGCCTCAGTGAAACCACAGAGAGAAGAACAAGGAGGAGAGGGATGGAGAAGCTGGAGAAGGAAGGTGGCAGCGTGGTGAAGCAGTGAGAGAGCTTTGCTGCTCAGACATGCCTTAGGTAGGTTCACAGTGGAGGAGAGGGTTCTTGCAGCCCTGCAGGCAGTGAACTTACAGCCCAGATGGCTGAGGCTGACTCTTCTGTCACTCCAAATAGGTGTAAAGTTATGGCTGTGAGGATAAAGACTCCTGGATAGCAGAGCTAATTCAGCTGGGGTGTAAACCAGCCTGCCCATTGGCGCCCCTCATCTCACAGCACTGGAGAGACTCCCCAGCAGCAGTGCTTGCAGTCATCCCCTTTAAGACATCACTTGCCTTGTGCTGTCCCAGGTGAGCTGCAGGTTGTGTTCAGTCCCATGTCCCCACAGTGTGGTCCAGGGACCCTGTCCCAACCTGCCAGCCAAAGCTCCAACCTGACTGCTCTTAGGAATCCCACAGCAGGCAAGAAGACAAGAGGGAGCTCAGGTATTTTAATCCAGAAGAAGTTAAAATCAGACACATTCTTTCCTCTCAGGTCACTGTCCAAGTGTCCACTCCCCCTTGTTCATCTCTGTTTTATCCCCAGGTGCCTTGGTGGGACCTTCTCCCCCTAATTCCTTGACCTATCTTGCCTTGCTCCAGAGACTGGGGTCTACTTGGGCCTTGCACAGCCACCAGAGCAAGCTCTTCCCCCTGGAAAAAGCACCATTTTTTGTTTGACACTAAGAAAAGCAATGCAGTTAGAGTGTTATAACCCATTTTCTAAAGCATTTGCTGATGAACTACAACCACATCACAGTCTTGTGCATTTTGATATCTACCATAGGCAAAATCCATAAGTTTGCCCTAAAAATTACCTTTCAGGGATAAGTGGCTTTCTATGAAGGTTTTCATTGTCTTCTGATACTCATCTTCAGTCATGTGGAGCTGGGCTACCTCAATGCTTGAGGAGCACTCTTCTTCTGTAGCTGTACCCTTCTCTCGAGGAGGCCAGTGTGCAGCAGACACCCTGAAACCTGCTTTATTCAGGTTCCTTGCAAACATCCTCCCAATGGAGCTGTTGGACACGAGAATGACAATTGCTCTCCCTTTCACATCAGTATTCCTCTCCACAACGCCAAAGGAGAAGAGGATAATGAAGCAGGCCAAAGATGCGATAGAAATGCATACGAAGCCATAGAAGAGGCAGGAAAGGGTCGTCGCGAGCAGTAAGTCTGTGGCCCTCAAGAAGAGATGCTGCAGGAGGATAATCATGGTGAGGAAGATGAGCTGCTGCCTCCTCACTCAAAGGCAAGCAGAGAAACCAGTGAGGAGCCACCACTGCAACCAGGCTGTTATAAAGCCAGGCAGCGTTGCGAAACATGCGTAGGCAAGTCCAGATCCCGTGGGGAGGGTGAATCACTTTCTGGGATAGGCCAACAACGGGGATTTTCATACCATGTTCCTTTCCAGGAGAGAGCAGTGCTGTGTTTGGCTTGGCTTGGCTGTGCACTTGGATGCTTTCCTGGGCTGAAATGTGAGGATCTGTTTGGTAAGGGCATTTCATCATGTGTCATCTTTAGGGCCAGTGATGGATATAGTTTATTTTGAAGCAGCCTTTTTTTCACGGGTTTCTTAAAGCGGTGTGTGCATGGCATTGGGAAGCCATGGAGCAGAAATAACCCTGTATCTGCTTGGCATGCTGCAGCTCTTAAGTTTAGCACTCTCAGTACTGCCACAAAGCAGGCAGATTGAGTAAGGCTGGGAAAGGTCCCAAGCAGGCACAGAACTGGAAATGCTGCCCCATGCAGCCAGCTCTTGTTCTGGTGTAAAACATGCCATGCCAGGGGCAGTGTGCTGGTTGGACTGCATCACTCCAGGAGTTCAGTCACATCTGAGGTGGGAGAAATGAGCTGGAGAGAGGGTTTCTGATTGAAAACAGGGATTGCAGGGAAGGTCTTGCTATTTCTCAGGGTGGCAGGCAGAGCAGTGCGTCCATCCCTGACTGCAGCAATGCCCTCTGCACATGGAGCACAGCAGCGCTCCGTGCTACAGCTGCAGCCTTTGCAGAGCTGGGAAGAGCCTGGTAGATGTAGAACCAACACTGGCAAAGGTAAATAAATGTTGGAGCATTTACTCAGGTCACCTCCAGTGGTGGTGGGTCAGGAGGAAGCTCTCACATCAGCCTGCAACTTCCCCACTGACAGCTCTTTTGCTGCTTTCTCTTTCATAGGAGCATGTCTCTTATGAAGACAGGCTGGGAGAGCTGGGCTTGTTCAGCCTGGAGAAGAGAAGGTGCCAGGGAGACCCTAGAGCAGCTTCCAGTGCCTAAAGGGGCTACAAGAAACCTGGAGAGGGGCTTTGGACAAGGGCCTGTAGGGACAGAACAAGGGGGAATGGCTTTAACCTGACAGAAGGGAGACTGAGATGGGACATTAGGAATAAGCTGTCCCCTGTGAGGGTGCTGAAGCGCTGGCACAGGGTGCCCAGAGAAGCTGTGGCTGCCCCATCCCTGGAAGTGTTCAAGGCCAGGTTAGACGGGGCTTGGAGCAGCCTGCTCCAGTGGAAGGTGTCCCTGCCCATGGCAGGGGGTTGGAACTGGATGAGCTTTAAGGTCCCTTTGAACCCAAACCATTCCAGGTTTCTGTGATTCTGTGAAGCATACACTGAGGTTGGTGGCAAGACCTTTCCCTTCATGTCAGAGTAGAGGTGCTGCTGATCACCACTAAAACCTCAATGTCAGAAACTCCTCTTGCAATAGTATCTTCCTTTTTTTTTTTTAGTTTCTATTTTAATGTGGATCCATATAAAGCCCCCCCCCCCCCCAGATGTGTGCTGTGGGTGTCTTGTGTTGCAGGTGGGTGTCGTGTTTATTCCCCACTCTCACTGGGAACATACTGGGAGCATGGGACAGGCTGTCAGCATGACCCACACATGATTTACTGGTCTGTCTTGTTCGTCCTCCGTGCGAACACACAGGTCCCAGCTCACAGATCAGTAGGAGTGTGCTATCACAGCAATCCAGCTCCAGGCACTTCTGGGATGGAGTTGCTGATAGCTGCACCCCAAAACCACCCTGAACACCACACCCAGCATGTGTGCAAACACACAGAGCTTTATTTGAAGTGGATGAAGGGATGCAAGCATCCAGTATGCCTCTCTACAGCTACCTGAAAGGAGGATGGAGAGACAAGGTGGCCGATCTCTTCTCCCAAGCAACAAGCTGTAGGACAAGTGGAAACAGCCTTAAGATGCACCAGGGGAGGTTTAGACTGGAGATAAGGAGCAATTCCTTCCCCAAAGGGTGCTCAGGCATTGGAACAGGCTGCCCAGGCCAGGGCTGGAGTCACCGTCCCTGCAAGTGTTCAAACACTGAGTAGATGAAGCCCTCAGTGACATGGGTTAGTGGTGGTAGTGCTGAGGAACAGCTGGACTTGCCACCAGTGGGTCAGCAGGCACGGGTGGCCCTGGCCAAGCTGGTGTGCACCTCGCCAGTTTGAGGGATGAGCATGGCATGCTCCTGTCTGCAGCGTGGTGGGGCAGTACCCCCCACCTCTGCCTTGAGCTGGCACCCGAGCCTCCTGTATCCACATGGTCCTGGCCAGAAAATGTTTATGGTCGTTTGTGCTGCAGTAAAGAGAAAAAACCCAAATGTTGCTCCTGCAAAAAATGCGCTTAAAGCCCCTTTGTGCTGGGTGTACTGACTGAGGGGAACAGCTTGCACGCTCCTCTCAGTATTGGAGCCTTAAGGTCAGCCTGAAAGGCAGGATGGGGAGCTCTGCGCTGCTGGGGGCCGGGCTTTAATCGTTCTTTGGTGGCTCTTGAGTATTCTAAGGTTCGGTCGGTGATGCCCGTTTGGGGGTTCCTCACTGTGCCTCAAGAGTGATGGACTTGGGGAAGTGCAGGTCTGGGTTGATGCTCCCAAAGCAGAGCTGTCACAGGCAGCGAGGATCAGCTTTAGAGCTGGGCAAACCGTGCTGTGCCTCACCGGATCTTGATTCCGAGTGCTTCTCGGAGGAGGGAACGGGAAAGCCTCACAGTATCCTGCGGGATGCGGGTCCGGTGCCGGCCCTGCCCGCTCCCTGTAGCGGGGTTGGGAGCGGGGTGTCTCGGTCCCGCCCCGCGCAGCACCGCCCGCGGCGCAATGGCGCCACCTGTCGGCCGCGCACGGCGCCGCCCGGCTCTCGAGCACCCGCTGGCGCCGCTCTCCAGGGCTGGGGATTGTGGCTGGAAAAATGGTCGTTGGAAAAGCACCTGGGAGTGCTGGTTGGCAGCTGAACACGAGCAGCGTGGGCCCAGGCAGCCAAGAAGCCAACAGCATCCTGGCCTGTATCGGCACCAGTGTGGCAGCAGGGCCAGGGCAGTGATTGTGCCCCTGCACTGGGCACTGGTGAGGCTGCACCTCGAATCCTGTGCTCAGTTCTGGGCCCCTCATTACAAGAAAGACATTGAGGTGCTGGAGTGGGGCCAGAGAAGGGCAACACAGCTGGTAAAGAACCTGGAACCCAATTGTGATGGGGAATAGCTGAGGGACGTGGGGGTTTCAGACTGGAGAAGGGAAGGCTCAGGGGGGACCTTATCACTCTCTGCAGCTGCCTGACAGAAGGATGGAGCCAGGAGCGGGCTGGTCCCTTCCACCAAGTAACAAGTGATGGGACAAGAGGCAACGGCCTCAAGCTGCTTCAGGGGAGGTTAAGACTGGAGATTAGAAACCATTTCTTCCCCAGAGGGTGCTCAGGCTTTGGAACAGGCTGCCCAGGGCAGTGCTGGAGTCACCGTCCCTGGAATTGTTCACACACCATGTAGACAAGGCCCTCAGTGCCATGGGTTAGTGGTGGCCTTGGCAGTGCTGGGGCAAAGGTTGGACTTGATGATCTTGAAGGTCTTTTCCAACCAAGTTGATGCTATGATTCTATGACTCTCTTGGCAGTGCCCCCAGCTCTGGTTTCGGGGTACCCACAGACCTGGGGGTCCCACTGGACCCAGTGATGGACAGAGGCAGCTCAAAGGCTGCTCCCACCTCCAGATCAGCACCAGCAGCTCTTGAGATGGGGGTCACAGTATTTCTGTCCTTCTTCTAGGTTAGCCCACCCTATCCTCCCCAGAAGTGAAGTTTGAAAGAGGCAAACCACCAGCTACCCAGAACCACTGCAAAAATCTCTTTTCTTGAAGGCAGGATTTCTCTGTTCAGTGCTTCTTCTCAGTCAATGAATAAACATTAAAAGCAGAGGCTCTAGTGTGGGTCAAGAAAACACTTCAGAAGTAGTGGTTTATTATTATTTTTTATTTCCCACTGCTATAATGTCAGGGAACAGTCAGGACCTCAGGCCTGCCCTGGGTTTTATCTTACCATATTCATAAGCAGAAAGACATTTTGCCTGTAGGTGACCCATGGGGCAGCAGTGACATGTCCGCTAGCTGCACTGCTGGCTGTCACCCAGCTTGGGTTTTACACTATAATTATTAAGCTAAGTCCTCCAAGGGTTTCCACTGCATCCCTTCCTAAATGGCATTAACCCTTGGGATGCTACAGCCATGCCAATTGTATGCTGGGCTGCATCAGATGAAGTGTGACCAGCAGGTCAAAGAGGGGATGCTGCTCCTCTGCTCTCGTGAGACCCCACCTGCAGTACTGTGTTCAGCTCTGGGTCCCTCAGCACAAGTGGAGGTCATGGAGATGTTCTGAGGGCTGGAGCAGCTCTGCTCTGGAGCCAGGCTGAGAGAGCTGGGCTGGTTCAGCCTGGAGGAGAGAAGGTTCCTTAAGGGGAGACCCTGGAGCAGCTGTCTGGGGAGCTGGACACCAGAAAAGTTGTTGCTTGACTTGGCCATGTGGTTCAGAATGCCTGTTAGAGGGAGCTGTGTGTCTTTAAAATTCTTGAGAGCATGGTTAAACTCTGTGCAATTAGAGACTTACCTTGAACCTCTTTGAAGCAGATCCTAAAGCTCTGCTTGTTTTCTCATCAATACCACCACTGCATTCATGATGCTACCAACCACGCAATGAAAAGTGATGTTTTTCCTGAAAACTGTATCCTGAAGTCAGATCTCCAGAAGGCTCGGAAGCTTTACAGGGGCACATTTTAATTGTATAAATGAAATCATTTCAATGCCATTACATCTTATATCAGCTTTCCAACGGTTCCCCTACATTTTGGGCTGTACTGGCGAGTTCAGTCCATTTGGGCTGGACTGTACTCAGGAGAGTTCCAGAGAGCTAAAAGCTAAGTGCAGTGAGAGCAGTCAGAGGCCCTTTGGTGGTCAGCAGCTCTTTGCAGGCACTCCAGCAGCCTTTGGGAGCTGTCAGGGAACATCTCTTATTGAAGCTGCTGCTTGTCTCTTTTGCCTCCTGTC